ATGCACTATCCACAAAATGCCTATTAATTTTTTTCTCCTGTCATCATTAAGCATGCATCTGCCTGTGTTTTGATTGCAGTATGCCAAGTTCAATGCCAAGCATTTGAGGGCTTTAATAACTTCAGTACTGGCTTCCAAAAGAAAACTCTTGACCTGCCTCAGCCATCTTAAATGAACATGAGAAGGTCATGCCAGCTGCACAAAGATTTAGTCTACATTATGACAAAATTTAGAGGTCTAAAACTTGGTAAAGTTTTAAGAAAGCAGATATAATCTGCTTTCTGACTAGAACCCATCAGTCACCTCTGCAAGGGCGTTTTTTGCTGTTGCACTGCTGAGAAACACGTTGCGTTTAGATTCAGTGCCACATCACAAGTTATGGAGGAAGCAGCTTTGTACCAACTGAGTTTGAGGGAAGGAGCAGATCCTGCTCAGATGCTGCTCAGCCTTCCCTAGAGGGTATTTTTTCACAGACCTGTCTGCCACTGATTGGTCCTTAGCAGAAAAAATTCAAAGAACCTTGAGCTTTTTGTCAATGAATTTTGGGGGGAAAAAAAAAAACCAACAAAAAAACCACCAAAAAACTCAACCTAAAAAATACTCATATATAGTAAACTTTAAAAAAAAGTCTTAGCTTAGGGACGTGGGATTGCAAATGACTAAAGGAATATTCGGTGACAAATGGACATTCAAGTTGTGCAAGAAAATAAGGCCTGTTCCTGGAATTATCCCATAGCATCCTGAGCAAAGATTTCCATCTGTGGTGCCATACTGACATTTGACTAGGAACTAGGCTGTTCTCTTGGTTATAGGCTGTTTTTTCCCTGCTTTTGTGCTATGAATGTGGAGGTAACTAATACATCATACATACATGATACTGCTTTGCAGCAAGTTAGCAGCTCAAATAGGTAATCATTTGAACAAGTTCAGTGCTGTTGCATTATGCATCAGAAAAAACTACAGTCAGTGTCAAAGCCATAAAGGTAGGCTACGTGCTTGTCCTGACAGCAGTCAGGTTGTGTTTACTGCTTATTAATTACTCCAGAGTAGAATGAATTTCTGTGAAGCATTTCAGAATGCTTCAGCCCCAGGAGGTTATTAGTAAAAATAAAAGTGAAATTCAGAAAAAGCAGCCTTCATTACCTACTTAAGTTTTAAACTAATCTTTTGCATGTGTGCTGCATTCTACACCTAAATTAGAAATCTAGCTTCTCTTTTTTAGTTTCTTTCTTGAAGTGGTAAGTATAATTTTTGTTTTAGACATCATTTTATGTCACTGCACATTAGCTTTATACTGCTGTTTGTATTTATCATATAACTATGACATGTCTGGAGCAGTCAGTTTTCTATTGTTCCTTTGTAGGTCTGTGCCCATTTTGTTCACAGCATTATTTCTGTCATACTTGTTTGCTTCTCACACTGGAATTTCCATCTGGGGTTACTTAGAGTTCAACAGTAAATGGTGTTTTTCCTCCAAAGTTACACCTTTCTGCATGATCACTTGATCTCTTCCTTGTGTGCATTCTCTTTTACTGTCCTTTATCATGGCCTCAGATAGTGATCAATATTTTATTGTTCTCAAAGTTCCAATTTTAAGATGCCTTTGAAAAATCACGGTAGAGTTATACAGTTCTGAGGTTTTAGGAGATACATGTGTATGCATAATTTAATGGTGTCTTGTTACTTGACTTTTACAACCAATTTATAAAAAAAAGCATCTTCTAACTCAAGAGCATCCTTTCAAACAAAAATCCTGAGAGAAATGATGGGACCAGTGCAAGGTGAAAATCTGACTGCTCTCTGTTAGGATGATCTTTGTTGAAGCAGTAAACTTGCTTCAGTCTTTGTGGCTGATTTGAGCTATTGTGCCCACTCTGGGAGGGGGTTTCTCAAGGAAACTGAAGCCCTGAAGGACTGCACAGCACCTTCTGGGTCCAAATTTGAATCTGGATATGTCAGGAAATCCCCACGCTGTGATTACTGAAACCAAGAACCAGTAGTGATTTCTCAGTAGTTTTAATGAGGAGTCCCACCAAGCAGCACCAGGCTGAAAAGAGCAGTGGTAATTAACTGATACATCTGCACAGTATAGTACAGCACATACTCAGATTACTTGAGTCCATTCCATGAAAATACCAAGATCTTATTCAGTGGTGAATTCAGGGAACATCTGCTTTGCTTTTGCATTGTTTTTCCTTTCCCTCAGTGTCATGTCACAGGAAAAACTGTTTCTCCATTCAGGCTTCCATGGCAGGCTGGTATTCCCACATATGCAGCACCATAAGATCTATTCAGCAAAAACCAGTTTGTATCCAGCACATGATCCAATGGCAAATGAACCTCCTTTAACTTGCAGACCAGGTCATCACCTTCTCATGTGAGCACAGTTACTTGAAATATTTCACATCATAGCAAGGTTGTAAGATCTTGTAGATAAGTATTAAGCAAATAATTAAAATCAAAATAGAACAAATATTTGGCTACCAGCTGAAAAGTATTGATATGTGATTTAATTTAAAAGTGATCAATCTTATGGAAGACTTTAAGTGGAAAGTTGAAACCTTTTGGTGTTCTGTACAGGCTATGAAATAGAGAAGCAGAACTTTTTGCTTGCTTATAATTAAAAGGTATTTCATGTTCATCTCCTTGTTGTGTTTATCTGCATAATTACAATATCAAAAGTGAGCTATGCTTGCCTGCTTTCCTTCCCCTGATTTTAACATCTTGATAGCACTTTAAGAAAGAAATTAAATATTCTGATATGGATAGGCTTGGCCGTCAAAGAAATTACGAAGAAATTCTACTATACAGGTTACTTAGCACTGGGACAGATTGCCCAGAGCTTATGGAGTCCCCCTTACTGGAGCTATTCAAGAACTGTCAGGATGTAATCCTGTGCCATGTGCTCAGCGATGACCCTGCTTGAGCAGGGAGGTTGAACTAGGTAGCTTACTGGACTAGGTGACCCTCCTAATGTGACCCATTCTGTGATACAGTAGTGTTCAAACTGGTTTCATAGGAAAAAAATAGTTTATATATTTTATGTGGCCATTGGTACAAGGAAATGTGGAGTACACAGTAATTTTCCACTATGCTGTGCACCCTCCCCAATAGCTGTTCTCAAACATCACACATGCTAAAAGTGTACCTTCAAAGTACATTAAGGTAAACCTGGTCTGCATCTGGAAGGCTGTCATCACTATGTATTGGTGTTGAACTGTAGTTCTCTGGTAGAGTGAGTGCTCCAGGTGACATTTATTCATTTATCTTCTGCTGTGTTTTGATTTTACCCCTTAACATTTGTCTTGTAAGGTCTTTATTTGACTGGTGCTTTTTGTTCAGTCTCAAACTAGGAAAAGTGAGCCATAAGTATGTAGAGGAAGATAATTTATTAGCAGTGTTCCCAAAACAGTTGTCTTAGATTCACAGATATCGGTGCTTAAGTTTCATTAAATTGAATTTCTTGTTATTTGGAAAATCCTATTTGGCAAGTTGCTGATGCTTGCTATTTCAGTAACTTACAGCTTTTTGAGAAGACAGCTGGGTTAATACATTATTGAATATTTTTAGAATCCTTTAATGCTGAGTTCACAGGATTCTCCAAGTGAAGTAGACTTAAAAGCTGAGAAGTTTTTGAAGGGAGTTTTGCTTTGAAGTTTCTAAGGGTTGCTTCAGTTCTAGTGCCAGTAAAGCTTAGAACGTGTTCTGAAAGCATATAAATAGCAGCAGTAAAACAATGGGTTTAATTTGGCAAGGCTTATCGATGGGAAGGCAAAGGAGGCCACAGCTTACAGTGGGTACAAATCTGTGCTGTGGTTTTACAGAACTGGGTACAAATGTGGCTTTTAGGGATAATTTTTCACTGAAATAGCATGTTACCATGACTCAAATTTCTCTCACATATTAGGAGAAAAAAAAAATTGTTGTCTTCCAGATGTGTTCACTTGGATTTAAGATACATGAGAGAACTTCTGCCTGTGTTAGGATAAATATTCTTCACATTAGAAGCCTTCTTTTGTCTTTCTCCAGAATCAGGTCATGTCATTTTCAACTAAGTGCCTTTTTTTAAAAGGTAATAAACTCAAATCAGGTTTTGCTTTTCTTTTCTTTTATATTTTATTGGGGTTTTTTAATTTTATTTTTGTGTCTATTATTTTATTACATTATTTTTATGTTATTATATTATCTGGGTTTTCCCCCATTTTTTGTAGTTAAATGATATCTCCGTCATATCTACTATCATGGCTTGTAGTTTGCTTTCTTCCAGGTTGCTCCAGAGCTGTCAAAAATAACATCAGAAATTGTCACTGAGGAATACTGTCTTATTAAATTGATCAGTGTAAGCCAGTAACAAGAAGACAAGCACTGAAATTCTCTCTCTATTTCTCAAACAGTTAAATATCCAAAAGAAGCAAAAAACACTGAGTATAAATGAAATGAAAGGGCTCACACAGTTTGTGTTTAGCATCCCAGAAGTGTAGATGGCCACTGCTTGGTTCTCAGCTCATTTACTTTTCTTCCAGGTTATAGGAACATTTTTCCATACCGGGAGATGAGCTCCTATAGGAAAAGGTTGTTGGAAATGGAAAGCAATTCAGTGAGATTTGTCAGCTATTTATGCTCTTTAAGCCAAAACAAGCCACGCGTTTATTTTGCGGAACCAGAGAAGAAAGGAGTTGATGAATTATGGGCTGGCCTCGTGCAGGAGGATTAAACATTGGAACTAATTAATGACCAGTTGGCAGAGCACCATCTTGATCTCAGTGGTGGTTGACTGGATGGGGGCCATAAATCCAGACTGCAAATGGGAGCAGCCTCAAGATGCTTCATTCCAGCTAAGTGGGATGGTGGCGCTCAGCTGCTGGGACAGTGTTTAATAGGTCAGAGTTTGGGATTTGCAGATCTATCCCATTCCTACTGGCTGTGCAGCTGCTTGGTACTGTTGATAATTGTTCTAGGGCTTCAATAGGTTTTTACTGTGCTCTGTTTTCCCCTTGCAGGCTTTTGGCCAGTCCTTCTCCGTTCACCGCAAAGTGGCCGAAGATGGTGAAACGCGGGAAGAGACTCTCCTCCAGGAGTCTGCATCAAAGGAAGCATACTACCTGGGCAAGATTTTGGAGATGCAGAACGAGCTCAAGCAGAGCAGGGCTGTGGTCACCAACGTTCAGGCAGAGAATGAGAGGCTCACTGCTATTGTCCAAGACTTGAAAGAGGTAAATGGGGCTGAATTTCTTTAGGGTATCATGGATAACATGGCTCTGAGTAAACAAAACATTACAGGAAATTAAAATGCTCAGCTCCCAGTCTGTGATATTCCCAGAAACCACGTGGCCTGAGAAGGCTACAATTTAGAAAGGAGAAAATACAACTTTTGTTGGTTTTAAACAACACCACCACCTTAAAAATATAATAAAACCCAAATCAAGAAGCTGTAATTCCTAAGCACTTTAGCATTTTGCATTATATTTTGTAGTACTGAATTTTACATAAACATATTTTCTGCACTCTTCTGATATTCATGCATCTCTTCTCTTTCTCAGCATTTACGTAATTTCTCAGGTATTCTGGACTGCCTAGAATTAAATGAAGCTTTTGCTGGTTTTCTTCTACTGTAAAGCAAAATGAAAATGCATGCTTATGCTTAGAAAATAGGTAACAGTAAGGAAGTCAGATGTAGTTATTGACCATATGAGACATTGAATAATTTTGATGGAGAATTAAGTAATATTTAATAACTTGCCTTTTTTCCCATTGGAATCTGGAAATTATGGAATGCAGCAGAACAACTACATGCAGGGGAAGGCAGCACTTGGAAATGAGCCCACACCTTGCCTGCATTCCCTGGGAATGCTTGGACATAGGGATTCTCCCCACTGTCCAGCTGCTGAAGGAGACATTTCCTATGTGCTTCTGGAAAGTGATTACTTAATGCATTAATTCATTAATCTTAATGGTTACCATGTGTTGATGTGTTTGCGGGTCCCAGGATGAGGGAAGAAAAGAATCTGACTCCATATTTCTTAGAAGGCTGATTATTATATTATGATATTATATTAATTTATTATACTAATTATTAATTTTATAATTTAATTTCGTAAATTAATTTTATAAATTAATTAATTATTAATTTATTAGTTCATTATATTATGATATTATATTAAAAATGCTATGCTAAAACTATACTAAACTATAGAGAGAGAGGCTAGGAAAGGAATGAATAATAAAAACCTGTGACAGACCAGAGTCCCGACACATCTGGACTGGGATTGGTCATTAAGTCAACACAATTCACATGGAACCAATCACAGATGCACCTGCCACATTCCAAAGCAGCAGATAATTATTGTTTACATTTCTTTTCTGAGGCTTCTCAGCTTCTCAGGAGAAAAAATCCTGATGAAGGGATTTTTTCATAAAATATCACAGTGACAGCCATGTTTTCTGTAGCTGGATGGAATAGCATCCTTTTAGCCTACAGAAAGCCCTGGAACAGGGAGGGTATCCCTGGAACTGAGGCCTTTAATCCCATTGAACATCTTTATTGTACTGCACTTGCCCATAATACAGATCAGGTTTCAGGAAGTACACACATGGCAGTTGTTCACATATTGAATTAAAATATGTGATTGTAATTGCTGTTGCAGTTACAAAAGAAAAATCTATTTTAAATTATTTTTTATCTACTTGTCATAAAATCCTATCCTAAAATCTTCTTGGTGGCAGACAACCAGCTGCTGACAGCCCTACCTATTTGGTTTGGCTCACAGGTCCTGATGACTTGGGGTTCAGACACAAATGAACAACCAAGTTAGAAAAAGTGCACATTTGTCTTTGTACTCCATTCTTTTCCTCTGGGACTCCTTCAAATGCAAATATCCCTTCCATTTTCTATCATGATTATTGATCTGCAGTTTGTTCAGGAGGCAGTTTCAGTACCTGTTCTCCCTGGAATATTGCTTGTCCGCGTTTCCTTGGTGATAATAGTAACTCCTAGTGTGAAGCCAGCTGCAATTATTTCCTGCTCTAATGCTAAATAGAATCAAGCCATAGTAGTTAATTAAAGTGCAATGAAGGAATTTACTTGAATAAAAATAAGGCTGATAAACTGATTGTTATTACTAAGATGATGTTGTACCCCGAGTATCAAGTCCTTGACTAGGTGGAACTTTCATTTTGTGTTACTACGATCAATGCAGAAGCATAAATGGAATCAGTGCAGTCAGTTGATTACACCACACTCTATTATGATTAATTACTCGAAAAATAATAAGAGATAGGGGGTGATTGGCACCTACTTCAGGCTCTTTGTAATCTTTTCACACTGAATTATGCTGGTATTTCACCTTGTGCTCAAAGGAGTCTCACTTGTGCCGGGCCTGGTAACCCTTGGTCCTATGGCAGTGATATCCAAGTGCCTGCTGAAAGGACATGACCTTCTCCTGTAAGTGTTTATGAATTTGTCTGCTTGGTTCTGCCTCCTGCAAGCAGGGAAAAGCAGACTAAACTTACTCCAAATCTTGACAGCCACAAAAGTGAGGAAAAAAAAGTATGAAGTGTCTGGTATGTTTTGGGGTAAAGCCACAGTTAGGTGCTGCTGTGGGTGGATTGCTACAATGAGGAAGCAATTTGTCTCTTTAGGCAGTCAATCTGGAAATCTAATTAGAGAAAAAAAAGAAAGAAAAAATGACATTTTTTTGTGGGCCTCTGTACTGAGTGATGCAAAGATAGATGGGTAGATTCTGGACACAAGTTACCTGATTGTATCCTGTTTTTTCCCCTTCCTGCCCTTTACCTCTTCCCCTCAAGAAAAACATGCTTTATAGCTGTTTTTTAGTCCTTAATAAGATATTTTATAAACTAAACAAACAAGCAAAAAAAATAATTCCTTTCACATTCAGTCTTAATATAAAGGTTTGAAAACTGTTGTGTGGCTCTGGGAATAGTGTTTTTGCATGGGTGACACAAATGTATGGTAGTTTCTCCATGCACTCATCCACTTAGGATACTGAAGACTGATAGGTGGGTTTTCAAAAAATTACCCCTGTTATTGGTATCACTCTGCTAAATAATAGACTCAGTGCTTCTCCACTCTCCAGCCTGTCCTGGGAGTTATCTGATGAATTCTTTGTGCTCTCTGAATTTGCACAGAAATCCATAGTCCTATGAATGTGTATGAGCATTTTCTGAATCATCAGAGTACACTCCCATGAATGCTGATGGCTTTTAGCAATCCTGGGAATTCCATAGCCCCGGAGTTTAAAAATTCATACATTTTAGCAAGCATCTGCCTTACAGTCACAGCTGATGTCTGCAGGGCAGCTTGACCTGGATCTCCCTTGCTATAAAAGGGACTGTATCAGGCTCAGGTCTCTGGAGAATTATGCACCTCAGACTGCAAAAACAAACAAACTGATTTCACTACCCATATCTTGGAAAATATGTTTTCTGAGAATTTCGTCATGTGCTTCACCCTGATGGGCATTAATGAACCAGGAATCTCTGAACATGGATAGCTTTCTACTTCATGTTAAAATGATTAAAGGAGTGAAATACCACCAGCTTTATTTTTGATGTAATAAAAATCCCTAGAGCATTGGATAGGAAACTTATTAACTAGCACCTAACTAAATAAAATATACATTTTGAAAAGCTGGTAGATTACTTTTTCTCCCACCAAGACCTCAGATAGGGAACATAGGCTGTTTAATTTGAACCAAAACTCTACAGATTTTAAAACTGAGACCAGAGAGATAATATTTTAGCAGTCAGAGACTAGATTTACAAAATCTGTATGTTAGGCATAACACAATTTATGGTGGTGGCCTCTCTGTATGGAGAGATCATTATGGTTATTAGATCATATAACCTTCTGTAACAGTGTATAAATTGCCCTCATTTATTATAAATATTTAAAAAATATTTATATTTTAAAAACCATCTTTTTAAAAGACAAACTTTTATCCTTTTCTAATTTTCTGGAGTCTGTTTTTTACCCATTTAAAAGCACTGTTCACTTACTTGGGAGATGAGTAACTTTTTCTCATTTGTACCAGTGAGAAAATCTCTTCTGATGATAACCATAAGTATTTTATTTGTATATAGAGATGCAATCACTACCTTGAGAAGCTGATAACTGGCAGAGGTGGTTGTGGAAGCCCAGCTCAGAAGCTGGAGAAAGTTTTCCATGCCCACAGACAGGAAATCTCCATATAGAGGTGATGTCTGTATATACTCCTCCATCATGGGAAGGCTGAATACCTTGGAGCTGGGCATCTGACTCAAAACAGGTGGCAGCTGGAGGGGAAAGAGAATGAGGCAAAGATTGAAGCAGGTGACAGTGTAGAAAATGGAGATGAGTGATGGGTACAGTTCAAGGTGTTACGAGACAAGGCTGATGAATTGTTTGTGGTGGGTGGGTGAATGTCTTGGTGTTTGAAGGGGCAGGCAGGTATGGATCAGCTCTTTCTTCCCATTAAGACTAGTGAGAAGGAGAAAACCAGGAAGAAAAGGGTTAAATTTCATGGGCTCTCTACTAAAAAGCCACTGCAGCAGCTGTGGGGAGTGCACAAAGAAATGGGCACCTGGGTACCTGCAGCCCAGGAGATAACAAATGAACAGGGGGATTTATGTGATGGCAGTATTAATGGACCATGGAAACAGCACACACCTGGGTTTCTGGAGGACAAAAACAGGAAAGAGGGCAGTGGAAGAGTGGGTGGAGAGAAAAATAGAAATTTCTGATGTATCATTTGCTGAAAGCAGGTGAAAAAAATGTCTAAGGTGAAATTGTGCTGCCCTGCTGCCCTTGAAATCAGTAGCTAAATGATTATTTGCTTCAGCAGTACAAAAATCTTGCACTTCATGCTAATTAGAAAATGTGTGGGCATGGTAGCTTGGATTTTTTGAGTGGAACTAATGTTTGAAAACAGAAAAAATTTACAATCATTGTCTTCAAGCTGGCTTTCATCTAAAAAGTTATATATTAAGAGCTGGACTTTCTATATTAAATGTGGCTTAAATCAAACTTTGCTGTTTCCTATTAAAAATTATATTTTTTTCTATCTGAAAAATTAGGGTTTTTTCTCTTTTACAATTTTGGGTAAAACCGAGAACCTTTAAATGTGAACACCTGTAGTCAAAACCCTGTCATGGTGTAACCAGGGCAAACACACCAATTTCAGATTCTTGTTTTGCAGCTTTGGGTTTAGATTTG